CGATCAATATTGCCAAGCTGCAGTTCTATCTCTATATACTTCTTAAAAATCTGTCGTCAAGCCAGCAGAGCTGTGTGAAAAAGATGACAAAGGACAAATTATAATTAAAATATAAGATTACATTTTGCATTCATTTAAATATTACCTTATCTTTAGGAGCTATTCCAATAGCACTTCCCAATATTTTACGAGCAGCTGTGAGATTCAGCTGACGGATTTCAAATTGGGCCGCTAGAAGCCAAATCTTTGCAAATGAGAATTTATGGTGAGGAATGAGTTTGATACACTCCCTGTAAACAAAATGAATCCATATGAAATATCAATAGCATCAATCGGATGAATTTTAAAGCAAATACAATAAATTCATCAGTCAGGGAAAAGAACAATAAAGTAATTCTAAAATCGCTAATATACTTATGGCTGCCCAATAACTCAGCAGATGCCCACTTTAATTCACAGATGAATCTAGAATTCACTGAATTAACAAGAAAAATATGTTTATGAGTCAATCCCGCCAGTGTTTAGCATATGCCCTTTCAGATTACGTTATAATTACTCATGTTGTAACGTACAGCTAAAATCCAATGTTTATATTAATTCCAACACCTAATACTAAAACATACCTGTATACATCTCTTGTTCGCTCCATATCTCCAGCATCAAGCTCTTCGTACAGCGCATAATTAATCCTAAGTTACAAATAGATAAATAACGATTACCAGGGAGGAAAGTAAAACAATACAAAACACATAGGAAAAAGGACATTCAAATCTAACTTACCACAAATAGATATAACGTTGCCAGTACCGCTTCTCCTCAGCTGGAGGAATATTGGCTATAGCTCTCTCGTATACTTCCCTTATTCTTTCTTTATTCCCCACACTTTCTTCCAATCTTATGTAGTCAAACCAGCAATCATAGTTCAAGGGATTTTTTCTCACTTCATCCTCATACTGAAACCTTCTCTTCCCAACAATGGCATCCTCAATCCCTTCCCTGTCCCCATACTGCTTTTCAAAGGCCACAAACTTCTTGTATAAATCTTCAGCCCTTCCTTTAGGAATATGATCAAGGGAAAATTTATAGATACACCTTGCACGCTCTGTTTCTTTACATCTTTCCTCAAACTCAGCAAATGCAACAAAAAGCTGCTCTGCTTCCTCATCATCAGCCAGCTTCTCCACTGCCCTCTCATAAACATTTCTAGCTTTCGGTACCTCTCCATTCTTCATCTCGAACTTGGCATATCGTATCCAAGCACCAACCTTTGGGTGGCACTGTACAAATCGTTCAAATATTCCTCTAGCCCGCTCAATTTCATTATATCTGAGCTCAAACTTGATGTAGGAGAGCCACCCCTGCTGGTCAGGCATCCAACTCATCCACCTCTCAAAAACCTGTCTTGCACCTGCCACATTGCCAAGCATCTCCTCCATGTGAATATATTTGTACCATAGTTGATCAACTCTTGGCAAAAGAGTAACTGCCCGGTCCCAAACATTCCTGGCATGGTTTATGAACTTGTTCTTCATCTCTACCTCGGCATATTTGAGCCACAATGTGTGGTTCTTGTAATCCACCTCTAGGGCTCTTTCCCAAACAGAACGAGCACGATTGAAGTCCTTTTGTGATTCTTCCCATTGAGCATACTTGATCCAGACACTTGTGTTCCATCTAACCCGTCTGATTAAGTCCTCAAACTCTTTCCGCTTTCGTAGACGATACTCAGCAAGTTCAGTGTGATCAGTAATCTTTTGCTTAGGAGGACGGATCTCAGCCTCCTGCCGCTCTCGAGCCTCACGAAGAATTTGCTCTGCTGTGATTTGTACAGGAGCTGGGGTTTTGTTCTTAACTCTGGTAGGACGAGGCAGCTTTACCTCAGTGTCTTTCCGAGTTAGGTACCCCAGGGTTGGGTCAGCATCTTTGGCTGAAGACATGGTCAAAAGAAAGAACAGATCCTGTTTGGAGAAGAAAATTTTAACCAGGAGCCAAAGAGAACAAATATAAGCACATCACTGAAAGGTTGGATGAAATAGGAGATTTAGGTGTATGGAATCCGAACCTTAAATACAAGAATTTCGCCTTCCAATGAACTCCAACCCACCCGAAGAGACTCGGCGAGCTTCACCTAAAGGAGAAGACGGAAGAGGAAGAGATGAGCGGAAGCGGAAGCAAAACAAGCAAATTTTAGGGATCGATTTCAGGCTTTCAGCCTTCCGTTTGCGTTTCGGTTTTAGCCCTTTCTGTTTAACGGGTTGATTGAAATATCAAATATGAAAAATATGAACCCTCAATATTAAAAATTCATATGATGACAAAAGAAAGACTAAAAATTCATCTGAAAATTAATACAGGTATTGTTCAATGTTAAATCTTAAATATATCACTTTAAAATATGGTATTTTTTAGTTATTAAATAATATATTTATTTATTAAGCAAATATATATTCTTAGAGAAAATAAAATTATCTAATTTATATTTTCTCTATTTAATATATTATTTTTTCCAACCATGATATTAATTACAAATTGATCAGAATATTATTAGAAAAATGATTAAAAAAATATAGGTTGTTATAAATATTGTATATATGTGGATGTCCATAACTCCCAACTCTTAGGATTCTTCATAGGATTTTTGATCTTTGAATGTCTTAAACCCATAACCCCCCAATGAATGACTTTAGAGGAGTTTTCCATGTTTATTGTTATTATTCCCTTATTCATTTTTTTTGTAATTCTTGGATTAGACTTTTATGGTTGGGGGCCTATAAATAGAAGCCACATACAAGGCATTTGTACCCATATATGTATATGAGAAATATTCCTTGTTTTCTCTCTCAATTCTTCTCTTGCTATCCTCTTTCTACTCTCTAACTTTCTCATTTTTATAACATAGGTAGAAAAAATTTTGTAGGTAAATCATGCTTTCTGAAATTTTATTTTTTATATTTATTGAATATACTCTTTCAAATTCAAAATGTAATACCCATTATATAATATAAATTACACTAAAAAAACGAATTTTATATTTAGAACCGAGGAATATATACATATTTTTATAAATCAAATTATTTAAATTAAAAAGTATTATAATATATATAATTGCATAAAAATTGAGGTTTAAAGTGTAAATCATTTTTTAAATTTAAAAGTCATTTAAATTTGTTTGGATCTGAAATTTTTAAATAAATGTTATAAAATAATACTCACTCACGCTTTAATATTTTGATCTTAAAACATTCTGACATCAACTATTTGATGAGATAAGCTTAAATAGATTAATAACTAGCAAAAAAAAAATGGATAACTTAAACTTCCTATTTTCTTAAAATGCATAAAATTGAATAAAAATAAAATTTTAAGACAAAAATAATGAATAATATGGTCACACCAATAACTACTAGTTCAGGGCCCATTGGTAACAGAATAAGGGTGTGTTTGGATGAAACCAAACCGTGGTTTGGAAAAGTGATTCTGGAGAATAGATTCTGGGAAGAATAGATTCTGGAAAGAATAGATTTTATGAAAAAATGATTTTGAGAAGTGAGAGTGTTTGGATAGTTGTTATCAGAAACACTTTTTATATATACAAATTACTAAAAAAAAGACATAAGTTAATATGATAATTACAGAAAAAATAGATTTTATGATATATTTTAATTTGAAGGAATAAAATTGTTAATAATATATTTTTTATTAACATAATTAATAATACATAAGATAATATAATTAATAAATAATTAATATGTATATATATTTATAAAATATAAGATTAAATATGTTTATAAAAAAAATAACAAGATACATATCCTATAGGTTCTCAAACTCTCCCTTTTTTCTCCAAAAAGCAAAAAGTTTTTGTTTTTTCCAAAACCATGGTTTTAGATTTTGGGTGGGTGTTTGGGTGATTTATTTTCCAAACCATGATTTGGGTCCCCAAACCATGATTTGGGTTCCCAAACCATGGTTTGGGGTGTCACCCAAACACAGCTTAAGACGATGTTCTTCATAAATATAGGAAACTATCTTTTATATATATTTATATATAGACAAAGATATAGATAGAGATAACCTAGGAAACCATCTTTTTTGACCAGCATAGGAAACCATCTTTTTAAAGTGTTACTTTGTTATAAATTTAAATAATCTCTTATATGGCATCTGCAAACGTTAATTTGAGACATACAGCATTTGCGAGGGATATGGGATATACCAGCCCAATAGCGTGTCGCTTTCCTTGTATCAAGAAACTTGATCTAGGCAAAAGGTTATCTTTTGAAACTTCCTGATCTATCCCTAACTTATAATTTAATTTGCTCACAATGAGAAAAATCTGACTCAATTTTCTATCTCCTGTGTGCATAAACACATGATTGGAGAAGATTAAGGGTGTGTTTGGGTGACATCCCAAACCATGGTTTGGGGTGTCAATCACCCAAACACCTCCTCTAAAAACCAAAACCATGGTCTTGGAAAAAGCAAAAATTTTTTGCTTTTGGAGAAAAAAGGGAGAGTGTGAAAGCTTATATGATATATATCTTGTTATTTTTTTTATAAACATATTTTTTGATAAACATATTTAATCTTATATTTTATAAATATATATACACATTAATTATTTATTAATTATATTATCTTATGTATTATTAATTATGTTGGTAAAAAATATATTATTAACAATTTTATTCCTTCAAATTAAAATATATCATAAAATCTATTTTTTCTGTAATTATCATATTAACTTATGTCTTTTTTTTAGTAATTTGTATATATAAAAAGTGCTTCTGATAACAACTATCCAAACACTCTCACTTCTCAGAATCATTTTTTTACAAAATCTATTCTTCACAGAATCTATTCTCTCCAGAATCACTTTTCCAAACCACGGTTTGGTTTCATCCAAACACACCCTAAATTTAGAATACATGTTAAGTACGAAATGATCTATAAACTGAAAAGTAAAAACTGAGAAAAGATAAGTGAGATGATAGTCAAAATTAATCTGAGATGTGACCACTTCTTTGCGCATATGAACTTAAAGGGCTTAATTTCAATGGAGACAAGCTCGCTCTTTTCATGCTTAAATTTTTTTGAGATTGAGAGATGTGACCATAGGCTCTTCCATATGAGCTTAAAGGGCTCATCGCAAATGGAGATATTCTTCCAGCTCTGTCCATCCCGTAAGCAAGATCATGATTCGAGACTTGACAACGTCTTCTCGAGCATGTGTTGAAACTGAAAGGACTCATCGCATAAGGTGACATATTTCCACTCGTCGTCTTCAAATTGGAATGTCTTAATGTTCTTGTGTTCGCCATTAATGGTGATTCATTCGCTTTTCTCATCTTCAAACCTGTCTTAGAAACCAAGGCATGACTATTTCTTATCAGTGGTGACTCATACCCTTTCTTTATATGTGGGCTGCTCTTGGAATTGGAGACATGCCCACGTCTTGTTAATGGTGACTCATTGCCAGTTTTCGTCTTTGACATGCTCTTCGGACTAGCGACTTGCCCATGTTTGATTCTTCTAACTGAACTTGAGGTTTTTGTCAATGGTGTTGAGTTACTCCCTTTGTTGTTCTTGAAGTCTGGAACCTGGGCAGTCCTTCTTCCCATGCTTGATGGCAATTGGCTCCCTCTCTTCATCCGTGAATTGTGGTTGGGTTGATTTGTTGCTAAGGATCTTGATGGCTGTGACCTAAATGTTACTATTCAAACCAAATTTACACCAATAAGTTCTTTGTCATCAGTAAAAGCATAACATAAAGTTAGAAACACAATACAACTTGGGAACACGAGAATATGATATCTCAGTTGTTTTAACAGAATTGTTGAGTTCAAACACTTGATTAAGATGGAAGGAAGGAATTATTCACCGGCTAACCTTGATCTTTCTTGGTTTCATCTTCTGTTTGGTGTTTTATTCTTGCAGATTTCTTGACCTGCACCTCTGAACAAATAGATTGTGAGTCAGAAGAAGATGACTTCATGTCAGTTGCAAGAGGGCCTGGATCTTCCAATGTGGAGGCATTGTCATCCCTCGAGGCTTTCTTTTGGACATCACTATCACTTTCTTCCTTACAGATTGAGCTGCCCAAGGGCTCAGAGCTATTATCTCTAGTCATGCTTGCATTAGTCTTCTCTTTCTCAACAATCTTATAAGCAAACATTTCATAAGGGATTTGAGATACGCTAGGTAAACGAGATAACTTCTCTGTTTGGATGTTCTTCAGGAAAAATGCTTCTATGTCACAGTAATCCACTGGTGGGCACGTCAATTCAAGCTGGTTCAGTTCAGGATTGATGATAAGAAACTCAGTATTGATGGCTAGGAATTTCTTTATGGAGCGTAAGATCCTACAAATAGAGGAGAAAGTAGGACGTAGGCTTGGGTCAGTTTGCCAGCACTTCTTAATTAAGTTAACAACATATTTTGGCGAAGGGTACGGGAAGAGTGGCCTTTCCCCTTCTTTTATATTTCGGCTTGATCCATCTCCTTCAAAAGGCACTTTTCCTGTCAACAACTGAAAGCACACCATGCTGAAACTGTAGACGTCTGCTTTCTCAGAGTACTTACAGCTAGAGTTAGACGCTTTAGTCTTATTACATTCCAGCTCAGTTAGAACTTCAGGGGCATAATACCAAATGCAAGGATTGATCTCCTCTTCAAGGGGATTTTGGCATGGTGAGGTTCGACTAAGAGCAGTATCCTTATTGATCTTCATGGATGAACCAAAGCCTGATACTTTTACTTGAAAATAGCCTTCTTGGGAATTCCATGGCTTGAGCCAGATATTGCAAGGATTAAGATCTCCATGATATATGTTTTTGGAGTGAAGGTACTCCATGCCTCTTGCTATTTGAAGCATAATATCTACCACTACAGGGATAGAGAACAAGATCTGTCTCCTTGGACCATAGTTGTCCCTTATGTAGCTATCAAGATCCTTATTCATTAACTCCATCACAAGAAAGAATTCCTTTTTCTCCTCATCATGAAACCCACAAAGATGTTGCACTATGTTGGGGTGAGACAATGATAACAGAGTATAAATCTCTACTTCTGACATTTGCATCCCCCCATTCACATGTCTCAAGGCAAAGCTTTGTCCCATCCATTGAATCTCCTTAAACTCTCTTCCCTGCCCCAATCTTCGTCTCACTTGGTAATCCTTCGACCCCAACAGGACTGAACTGGGGAAAAGTTTTTTGTTCAATTTCTCAGGCCCATTTAGCAGTTTCTTGATTAACATATTAGCAAGGCGATGCTCGTTCTTCGTCAAAGCAAGTCCAGTAGAGGTCTTCTTCTCCTTCAGTGATTCTATGAGTCTCCATTGATCTTCCCTCCAAGCATTCTCCAACTGTTTGCTAATTTCACGAGAGACCAAATACTGCTTTGCGAATCTCCATTGAAAAAGCTTAGGGTCATTCCATTCTCTATCATACTTCCTCGTTAACATAACTTTCTTCTTTGTCATCTCATCGTGGTTGTGTCCAGCCACCTCTCCAGCAATTTCAATAGCTTCAATAACAGCAGGGAAATAACAAAACAAGTTGTGTATGTGAAACTCAACACAGTCATTGTTTTGATGAAGTGAGATGACTTTGGTCCACCAATCTTTAGAGTCCAAGCATTGCCTGATGTAAAGTTCACCGTCTTTGAACACCCTACACAGTTCTCTCATAGGATATTCAAGGGGTTTCCATTTGGTGTTCCTCTCTTCCAGCATAAGGTTCTGCTTGATCTCTTCTGCGATGGTTTCAAATGCCAGATCGAAGATATTAAGGATCAAACAACATTGACTTTGGTTGATTTGAATCTCATCTCGCAAAACCATTAGAGCCTTCAAACTTCCAACGACCTCTCCTATTCGCCGGAATTGTTCCATTCCGGCTCAAGCTCCTCAATTACGATTGTGGCCACCCCTTGCTGTTGATGAATTGAATATCAAATACGGCAGAACCTTAGATAGGTCACCACCTGTGTTACACAGACAATAACCACATTCTATAAATAATGAGGAATGAAACTAAATTTCAAACCAGGTCACATGGTTAAATCATAGGAGTGCAGCAAAATATACACTTTATGCAGCATGTTCATTAATCAAAATAGACTTGAAACAACAATATATAAGCAACGTTTATTTTGGAGTGCTGAAAAGTTGAAGACTTGAATTAATCTATGTAGCAAGGGAGTGAATTTAGAAAGATAAATGAAAGTGAACCTACCGTGAGAATCCTTTTAATTAGCAATATAACCGATTCATTGAAGCCTGAACGAGTCTCAAAAAGGCCATTCTTAAATGTGACCAGGGGAAATTATAAGGCGAAATAAGATTAAACAAACAACAAAAAGCTGTAAGAAGAAGGCTCACCCCTGGAGAGACAAGAATGCGAACGTGGGATCTTAAGTTTTATAGGTAGAAATGAAGATGTTGGGGTTTGAAGGGGAAAAGTAGAGGAAGAGCTACCTGCTTGAGACAGAGAAGAACAAAAACTGATAAAAGGAAGAGTTAAGACAAAGGGACAAACGTAAAGTACGAGGCAGTTACGTAAGATAGGGGTGCACGCAGGTGTAATATCAAGGAAGATGATGATGAAACAGTTCCTGATTTCTCGAAAGTTTTGTTCGTTTAATTTATTCCCATCGATAATCAGCTTTAAATATAATGACTCAAACTTCGTGTTGTTGGAAGCTTGTGTTTATATATGTTCCGGCCAGTTTCCGTTATCACCATTGTAAAACCTATCCGATTGGTTCACCATTTTCAGCAAATTTATTTCAAATCTTAGCTGGCTTTGCCCATGAAATAGACTTTGATAATCCATCCAACAAGTTTTCTAGGTTCTTCAAGTCAAACAAAACCTTCTAAGCTGAACGTAACAGATTAATAATTAATGATAAATATGTTCTCTAAAATAGTAAATGAAATATCAATGTCTCAGACCTCAGCTGTCTTTTACGTATAAAAGATGGACTCGGTTGAAGCTAACCACTATTAACGCCTTAACTGGCGTTTGCTTGGTGCTTGTATATGCATTGAACAGTGTAAAATCTTAAGTATTGGTCTTCTTTCAATTTCAAGATTAATCACACAAAATATTTTGCCGATCTTAAAAAAATTCTTAAATTTCACGATTCGATGATTCGATATCTTGTCTACTTTCGTTTTACGTTATATATTTTGTAAGGAGTAAATAAATGGGGACCAAATGTTTGAATAGACTTCCTAGTTCAATAAAAAAGAAATTGACTTTGGATGTAACTTGAAATAGGTCTCGTGCAAGGAGCCTGAAATTGGATTTTACTCTCAAATTTTACTTCACATTATGGGCACCAGTATTTCATGAACTATTGGTCAGCCATTTTTCAATTAAGTTTGCATTTGAATTTTTTTATTAATATTTATCAAACACGTTTTTACCAAAAAAATCAAATACTTTTTTTAAGACAGCATCATGAAAGTGGACTGGTATTTATTTTTTATTCCTTTTCAATAGAATGAACAGAGAACACGATTAACAAGCAGAAATCAAAATGCGCAAAAACTTCTTTTGTTTTTTTGGGGGAAAGAAAGAGGTGCAAGTCACAAGCCATCAATATAAAGCTTTCTGGGTCAGATCAAGCAAGGGCCTCTGAAGCTTTCGAGCCAAGACTTTGGGATCTCGAGTATCCTAAAGTAGTCTTCCAAACTAAGCCCACAAAACAATTGAACTGAGGATTCAACTACTTGGGTCTTTTTGGGCCCAGATCGAGCATTGTTTTAAAAAAAATGGTGGATGTTAGGTTGTTATTCGTTGGCGACAAAAAACGGGGACACAAAGCCAGAAGTGCGTAAAGATGTGCGGTGGCTTTCGTTGGCATTTCCTAACTCAACTTCCATATTTAAATGTCCATCCGCAGTTCCGCACAATCGACCGCGCAACACCAAAGCCTTTCTAGGTTTCTTTTTGGAATACACACACATATATATATTGAAAAAACAGATAATAATATGGTAATAAGATAAAAGGGAGGGAGGGGGGAGCGAGCATATATATAAAAAAAAAAATTGCATATCGCTACGAATTTTAATGTAAGTAACATTTTTTAATATAATCATCACATTGTATGATGATATAATTATGTCTTTTAACGATTATTTGTAAATATAATTGATCTGTAGCATTTTTTTTTTACTTATTACGATGAATTTTATAAAAGAAACTTTAAATTTCACGGAAATCGAATCACAAAAAAAAAAAAAAAAGGAATCACATGGGGCAAGAGAAGCGGATGGGCCCCACAGGGGGTTTAGCGGTAACCGGTGATCCTGGTTGTGGCTCCCCACACTTTGCTCTGCCTCCAGCTCATCAATGGAGGCTTAAAATTGTGTTGTATGGTCGTCTTCTTCCTCCAAAAATTTCTCCTTCCCATACTCAAACATATCCTGAAATTCCATTGAACCGAACCACCCTCCTTCCTTGCTCTCTGCTTTCTTTCCTTTCTTTCTCTCTCCGCGACATTCCTCAGTTCCTCTGAGAGGCGTTGCAGAGAGAGACCCCCCACCCCTAACTTCCCTCTTTCCCAGATTCCATATGGCGCCTTCCAAGTTTTCGTTCGGTGTTTTGACCATCCTCCCCGCTCTCATTCTCACCCTCATCATGCCCTCTGCTGTTCATGCTCAATCCCTTGCTCCCACCCCTGCCCCTACTAGCGACGGTAATCTCTCTCTTCATTCACTTCCTTAGATCTAATATGCGAACTTCTGTTTATGTTTTCTTTCCATTTGGATCTGACTCTGCCATCTGTTTTCCCCTCTTCATAGTTGAATTCCAGAAAATGCATCTTCTAAATGCTTTCTTAATTTGATAAGTTGATACAAGTTTTTGTGTCTATCGTTTTTTGCACTGTCAGGGACAGCCATCGATCAAGGAATCGCATATGTGCTGATGTTTTTGGCATTGGCGCTCACCTATCTTATCCACTCGGCCGATCTCTCTAGCTTCTGAATTTCAAAATGGATAAGTTGATGGAGAATGCTAGTTTCAGACTTGATTGTATTTGGCCTACACATTTTGAATCGGTGAATTTCTCACACGATTTCTTCAACAGCTACGTTTTTTCTTCCGTGTGGTCGAACTCACTGGTACTGTAATACCAGGCTTGTGCTTCCCTACTAATTTTTCATACTCAATTTTATGACTGTAGTAGACGGTCATATTTTCCTGTAAACCATTACTCGAATTAGTATAATTATCTTGATTTGGCGTCATGAGCTTGTGGTAGATTCAGCAAGTAAATTTCCCAGAATCCAACAATAGGGCGATCATTTTGCATTTCTGGTAAATGTTGAAGCATGATATATAGAGAAGCTGGAAGCAAGGATCCCAGGACATTTTTTTTAATGCAAAAGCTCTAATGTATCATAATACTTTAGCTTCTGACCTTGCATCTAATATCCGAAAAGTTCATCAGAGAAATTGGGTGTCTAACCCCAAATTCTCCTATTAGTCAATAATGTCAGCACACAGGCTATGTGATTTAAATTATGTTTACCTTTTAATAGATAGGGCCTTGGACAACTGCAAGGTTGCAATCATAAGCCTAAATAATTTGCTAAAAGTAAAACCAACAAGATAATGATAACCTAAATTTGTTTACCTATCAGGACGGAAGTTGTGTATGAATTGTAATGCCCAGCCAGGCGCCAGCAATATATTACACAGAATGTCATAATTTGTAGTTTTGTACTCCATACCCAATGGTAAACTAAAAGGGATCAGCATTGTTACAAGTTGCAAGGAATGAATGATAATTTTCCTTCTGGTCAAAATTTTTTTTTGGGATAATGTAAGGGATCTGAAGATTTTTTTTCTGCTAAAAAAAAAAAAAGACATGTTTTTAGTGAAATGCAAAGTGCAAGTGCAAAGAGTTACTTTTAACAAGAAAATTGTGTCCTACTTTACCAAAGCATAAATACTTTGTCGATTGACCAAAAAAAAAAACCTGCGACACCGCAACAAGCCGTTGTTCTTTTATGGGCTATCAATTGACAAACGGGCCCTGAGGATCAAATTATGAGGAAAAACCAGACCTCCTTTTGCTTTAAATAACTAGGCCCAGTGCTAATGAATGACCCCAAATGGTTTCTGTACACCTTTTTTGACTTTTTTTGGGCCTGAAACTGTGCAGCTTTTTAATTATTGCATGATCCCCCCAAATAAAAAAAGCAACAGCACAAGCCGGCATAATCGAGGCTGCTTATGCAGGGTTAAAAAAGACGAAATGAACCAACAAAGGTTGGGTCTTGCAGAAAAAACTAGTTCCTTACAACATGATGAATCAATGTTTAAATCTCTGCTAAGAGAGGTGCTCTGTTAAGTGTCTGACAGTGTCCCGAACATGATTGTTTTTAATAGGAGGATACATATACCTAAAAAAAAAAAGGGACAAAATGAAAATACCCATTAGCAGTCATGAGATATCTCATACGAAGTCATACAGAATATTGTGTAGCATTAAAATAGAAGTATTATTTATTTCTTGTTTAAACCATTGTCCAAGTAGTGGAACGTTGGTTGCACCCAAAAAGGGGGGTTGCCCTGCTTCCTGTTACCTGTTACTGTCCTGTTCCTGAAAATAGCGTTGGAGTACTTGGCCTAGAAAAGGTTCATGAACTCCTTTTTATGGTTCAAGTTATAGTTTAAACAAATTTTCTTGGATTGCTAGTGATTTATTAATCATTGGAGAATTTGGCAGGATGTTGACATGTTATGAAATCGCATAAAATCATGGGCAAGTGTATTTGTGTGTGTCTAGTTGGCATTTTGTGAAAACCCAATACTTGGCGTCGCAATTGGAAAAATAAGATTAGATCCTTACGGGGCTCTCCTATCCTCTTCAGCTAGATATTCCCGTCGCCTGCTTCGCTAGAGATTCAAAGCCGATGGTCCACCCCACTCGCCCCACTCTCCCCGAATAACTTTCTCTACCAAAATCAGGAAAAAACATAAAGAGGATATCTTTTCCCTTTTCTGATTCTTTCTCATACATTTTGTTCGCAAGTAGAAAGCATAAAGTCTCAGGTATTATTCAAGATTAATTACGGGATAAATTGTTTATTGATGAGTTAATAGCCAATTGGCCACTATGCTCTCAGATGTGTCCCGCGCGTCCTCCAAAGCTTTGTCTTCACTTGGGTTGACGATATTTTCGCTCATCATAAAGCATTTTGCAAGAAATATCAACTATCCTAAAATGCTAAATGATACTACCTCCGGCCCTAATAATAAGAGTTAGTTGATTAATTTGAGGAGATTAAGAAAATATGTTAAGTTAGTTATTTGTAATAAATAAGTATTGTTTTTTCTAAAATATCCTTACTAATCAAGTGTGTTGGTTATTTGGTTAGAACTTCAATTATTAGAAGGACTACGTTAGAAAAAAAATACATAAATATTAGAAACAAAATGGATTGAAATATTATATTTAATACCAAAATAAAAGTCAAACAAGATCTTATATTAAAGACCGAAAGTAGTATAAATTGTTGCAATATTGCCCTTTGATTGGTGAATTTGATATTCTTGTTTTTTGTTTTTGTTATCAAAATTTGTTGTATCTTGTTTAAAGCGTCATGTGTTTTTGTCAGCCAGCTAATATTCATCAATTAAAAAACATATGAATATGAATTAATGATCAATTAATTAACAATACTGTTGTGTGAGTATATGGTGATTTGGTAGCTAGAAACTTGCCTAGTTTTTCTGAAAAGTATCTCAACATGTACGCGTGGTCAACATCTACACTTGTTTTTTGTGTTTTTTTTAAAAAAAAAAGGATTTTTCATTAACGAATAGTTGACAAATCAAATGATATCCTAAATATGATGCAGCATATTTGGTTAGAGAAAATATTGTGAAGAGTTCCACTTCCACATGATTAAAAATGTCAATTATGCTCTAATAAATAGTAGTACTTTATCATATCAATGTTCCTTCTCAGATAACGCATGGTTTCTCTGTAAACCAAATCCACCCCCGGGGGTATAACACTGTTACATATTAAGAGGATGTTTAGATAGAAACCAAACCATAATTTTAAATAGGGGTGTTTAAATTGTTCCGTTCTGATGGATCTGTCTCGGTCCCGATCACTTTGGAACGGGACAGGATACTGTTCGGGACAGGGTTGTCTTGTCCCAAGGTATATAATTTTAAAAAATTTTTTGCAAACATCACAAGTAAATAAAATACAAAGAATTTTGCGGATGCCCTAATCTATTATCATTTCAATCCATCTCCCTCTCGGTCTCGACTCCAGATCCTCACCTCCGTCGCTTCTCATTTCAAAGCAGCGGATGATAGTATCAGTGGAGGGAAGCCCTGTAATCCCGCTCTTAATTGAATGCCTAGACTCTCTTCGATGCCTTCATCTCTTACCTTTGCCAGTGCCGTCACTCATCCTCTTCACGCTCGCTCATTCCCTCTCAGGCTCTCACCTTCTCTCTTCCGGCACTGCCATTGTCGACCAGGTGTGTTTTGCTCTCCCTCTCCTCTATTCAAAAACCCATCTGGTCTGCACATATGAGTTCTTAAAATTGAAAGAGAAACCATCGACTCATTGCTCAGAAGAACCCACTCGCGATTTCTTATGAAGGAATTTTCAGAGGGCGAAGTGGGTAGATAAAGAATGGTGGGATTGAAATAGTGAAGGAGAAAAGGTAAGTGCAATATGGTACCACCATTCTCCCCACGTTGCGTTCGCTGCTCACTCTCCCGCCTGCCAACACGTCGCCATGAGGTAAGCTCACTCCTTTTACTGCCTTCACTCTGCTGTCTTTGTTCGTCTCTAATTGCGTCTTCTCACCCTGTCTCTGTTATTAGAATTTTAGCATTTAATCTTTGCATCTTGAACCATCTGTGGCGTCTGTCTTAGTGTCAGGTTGAGGTCTTGCTAAATCAATTTTAATTAACAGAAGTGTCTAATTTGTTACAAATAATTATAAATATTGTCCATTTGGCTCAAAGTAATCTGTAAGGCCTGAAAAAAAAAAAAGAAATGAATTTAATCAAAATGACAGGCCCAATATTTTGACTGAAGACCCAAAATTGAAAGGAGAAAAAAAAAAAGGACGGAACATCTCCATCCCGTCTCGGTTTTGTCTCAGTCCCTTTCAGGACGAGACAGGACACATGACAAAAATCTCGTCCCGTCACTGTTTATCGAGACAGGACCGAGACGGGGACCCGTCCCGTGAACACTGCTAGTTTTAAAAGTATTTTTACGGTTTACAAAGTAAATATATGGAGGAGTTTGTTTTATTTTACAAAAAAAAGGGCCCATCATTAGTAATTATTATTATTACCTTTCATCTTTAATATAACATTAGTTGAATTATTTGAATAGATTAAAAAAATTGATTGTATTAGTTATTTATAATAAATATGTATTGTCTTCTTTAAAATACATTCACTAATCATATATATTAATTAACATTACTACTTGATAGAATTTTTAACATGTACAATTACTTCAAAGATTATCTTAAAAAAATAAAATAAAATAAATGTTAAATTATTTTTTATGATTCTGCTAAAAAGTGGCCGTTATGAGTAGAGCCGGGTCCATGTACCCTGTAACGTAAACCTTCCCTCTGGAGTGTCAGCCAGTAGGGACGTTTTTGCTTTTTTTGACCAGCCAGTCAGTAGGGGGCGTTAATGTGGCTCTGTAAGTCAGCAGGGAAAGGACACGTCAGAGAAGAGAGAGAGAGATATAGAGAAGGCAGATAAGCCGACGTGGCATATGTGGGGAACAATAAGGTACGTCTACCCTTATCTGAAGCGAAACAGAGGGAATGCTAACCTAACCAATGATGGGGGAGGGTGGGGCCACCATCACCATCATTCCACAGTACAGTGATGATTGAATCGGACGACACGTAGGGTCCCCCCCCCGCCCCTCATCCTGCGATAGTGCGATGCCCAGAAGCCGTAACCTCATGCCACGTGTACGGTCGCTATTCTTCATGTGGACCCCCCAGAATTACAATCTCCATTCAACAGATTCTCTACACCCTTTCCGATGGGTTCTCGACCGCCGTTCCTTCGCGTTCCTCCCCCTATCCCCCTTTGCTCAGCCTGTGTTCAAGTTGCTGGATTCTCATCACTGCTTATATCTAGTGACATCAAAAACTTCTTTTATAAATAAAAGATCATGAATTCGATCATATTTATAATGCTTAATTAATTACACAATACTCACCAAATGAATTTGAAAATGAATAACGATTTAGTGATGAATATAGGCACAAATGTAGACGGAGGATGCTTGGTGTGGGGGGACCCATGCAGATATGGGGCAAGTTGTTCTTTTTTTTGGTTTTTTTTTTGGGGGGGGCCGCTAGCAAGAATGAAAGGGGTAAATCCCAGTTGCATAGAAACGACAATATGCAAAAGGCTTTATATTCAGAAATGCAGAATTTATCAAACCTGCAATTCCTGATCTACCAGACAACGACCCATCTGTGTGCGCTTTTATTTTTTATTTCCCACATCTTCAAATCAAAATCCCTCCATTTATTTTCAACCCCCACCACCTCTGGCATCTCCATTTGTGCATCGCTGTTACAATTAATACTTACCATCACGATTTTACATTTATTATATAACCCAAAGGAGGACGTACATGCTTAGCTTGCATGGATATGAGTCACCCCAGGAAAAAAGACACAAACCCAGAATGTTTGTCTTTTTAGGAGGCGTCTTCCATTGATTCAAGATGAGTTCAAATGGAGGTGGCTACGGTTTTTTGTTGGTGCCGACAACTTGGTGGGAGGCAACAAGAGAAGACAAAAAATATATAAGGATGATAATGATGGGCATTTAATGGGGGGCGATATGTTAATTTGGACGTTTTATGTCTTTTTACGGTGTTTTGGTTTTGTTATTAATGGGGAAGATGAGGATCTTGGTCTTTGGCAATACTTTTTGTGTCAGTATCCAGTAGTGATGCTCTTCGTGAGGTTGTGGGTCGCACGCTTCTGCCCCCACCCCCACCTCCTGAAATCGTTCCAGAAAGGTCAAAAAATGACATTCCTGACATGACATCAACACATTTTATATTTTCTCTAAATACACAATTAATCGATTTAATCAAACAAAATTACTGAAAAATCCCTTATTACAAGACTATACCTGATATTTAATTAAGAACTTAAACCATGTTTCCAACCCCTGTTTAACTATTTGGCCAAAAAGAAAAACTCTTCTTTGCACCTAAGGGAGCACATGTTACGCGGAGTCAAAGATGGGTCTGCTTTTCTTTTTCTTTTTTTTTGGCCAGCTAAGGATGTGTCTGCTACTCATGGATTTAAGTGCATCTCTGAATACTAACTCTAATTCTTAATATAAAAATTAAATAATTAATATAAAAATATTAAAAAAATAGTTAAATTGGTTATTTGTCATGAACATGCATTGATTTTCATAAATTATTTTTTAAATAATATGCATCATAATACTTTTTGGTAAAAACATTTTAGAATCAATATGGTAATTTAGAAAAATAAGAAACAAGCTAAATTTAGATTTTTCCTGAAAAAAAAGAAGCTAAATTTAGATTTTAAGGACCAGTAATAAATTTTGTGATATGGAATTTTTCAGCAATTTACCTATTTAATTACTACTTCCGGTTCTTAATATAAAAGCTAGTTAACTAATTTGAGTAGATTAAGGAAACCAATTAAGTTAATTATTTATAATAAATATATGTTATCTTACTTAAAATATCCTTACTAATCAAATGTGTTAATTAAAACTATTATAAATACTGACTTAAAAAAAATAAATATGAGAAATAAAATAAATTAATATCTGATATTTAAAATCAAAATAAAAATTAAATAAATTTTTATATTAAGAATTCGCAGCAGCAATTTATGGTTGGAATAACGTGGCGCCATGCTTATCTATATATATATATATATATATATATATATATATATATAAACAAATGGAAACAAAAGCTGCGGCACAATTAAGTGATGATGATGAAATGGACCGAAAAGCCGTGAGGCATTTTCATTTAATTTATGTCTTTCACAATTTTCTTTTTCATTTTTGTTTTTTTGCCACTTGGCTCGAAATATCTTCTTTACTGTTTCCTATGAATTATGAAACAATAAATACAAAATCTATAGTAACGCCCAATCGCTCCGCTGCATCTCATCTTTTACCGTGTCTATTTCTGGCAAAATTTAACAAGAAAAATAGGGAGAGAAAAAAACAATACTATTGGCCATGGTATGTTTTTAATTTGTATGCCTTTTATACCCTTTTATTTCACTCTGAAGTTAATGTTGACAGGAAATTTAATTTGATTTATAAACAAAAATTTATCTTATTTGTCGACCATAACATTATTATGTTGCTCTGGCACTTTCCATATTTAACAAAGAACTTGTAGAAAACATTGAATACAAATTCATGACCAGCCAGCTTTGATTTATATCCCTTTTGATTTATGCCACTTCAAGCTGTAAAATCGCAGGCCTTTCTTTCAAAACAACTTCCCGGCAGCGTTCATCAGCATTGAAATTATTTTTGATGAAAACTTTTTAAAAAAAATATAAAACATATATTTTAAAATATTCTTTTAAATTATTTGTATTGAAATTACCTCATTTAACACATGTAATCAATAAAAATGATTTAAAAAATAACAAATATACAGGAACATCAAATTCATCTTCTAACAAACTCTTATATTAACAATCTGGGACAGTAACTCAATAAGCTTTCAACTAAAAGCGTGCGTACACACGACATATACTCTACTAACAACACGCAGATCAGGATATTTTATGAAGCTTTGTATGAAAAAAATATATTTTATGAAGGCGGTAAGAGAATTTCAATTTTAATTGACTATTAATGAATAAACAACGTGGGAAACGCTCAACTTGATTCTTATCAAGTACCACGTTAAAAGCCATAATATTAATTTCATCCAACCGTGCTTATTCATTTACTAGTCAGTTTTCTCTCTTTTAATATATTTCACGTTGTTGAAAGGTTACGATCGCCTCGTAAAACTACTAATTTGCGCTCTCTCTTACACAAATTGAAATTGAGCTACTGCTACCCCCATCTGTGTACCTTCGGACATAACTTGTTAATTATCTTTTTGAATGCACAAATAATGATATACATATATTTATATATTTTTTGACAGGGTAAAAACAGAGAGAGAGAAAGTCTCTCTTCTCTTTTAATATGTAACCCTGTGATATAAGGGAATCTTCCTGATGTATTTGCAGACACACACGCACACACAATATTTTATATATGTGGCTCCAATATGACGAAATTGGTTTAAGCCTTCAGGGATTCAATATTATAACCTGTTCTCATTTTATTTCTCATTTTCTAAGGAATATAGCGTATATATAGTCTCTTTCTTGGCCGTGTGAAGTGAAAATATTGAAATGAAAAAGTTGGGTTGAAACAGTAAAATATTTGTGGCTGTGATTTGGTGGGATAAAAAGAGAGCACGCAATTATAAGCATTTCAGAATTCAGACCGCACATGAAGCACAATAACCCTCGCATTGCCTCGCCTGATTAACCGCTCCGAATCTTCTTCACTGCTAGATGGACAGGCCCGAGGCTCTTTTGTTGAGATTCCATACATTTTTCTTTTCATCTCATTTGTTTGATGAATTAATACTACCTCCAGTCCTTAATATGTTTTTAATATAAAAAGTAGTTGATTAATTTAAGTAGAATAAAAAAATTACTTAAGTGAATTATTTATAATAAATACTACCTCCGGTCCTAATTATAAGAGCCAATTGACTAATTTGAGGAGATTAAAGAAATAGGTTGAGTTAGTTATTTGTCCTAAATAGGTGTTGTCTTTCTGAAAATATTCTTGCTAATCAAGTATATTGACTAGAACTATCATTGTTAAAGGGGCTATTTTGAAAAAAAAAAAGTATAAATATGAGAGACAAAGTGGATTGGGGTCTTATATTTAGGACTAACACAAAAGTCAAACGGGGTTTTATATTAAGGACCGGAGGTAGTATGTCTTATCTTTCCTAAAATATGTTTGCTAATTAAGTATATTAGCTAGAACTACTATTATTACAAAGACTACTTTGAGGAAAAAATAAATATGAGAAATAAAATAGATTAAAATTTTATATTTAAAACCAAAATACAAATCAAATAAGCTTTTATATTAAGGAGTGGAGGTAGTATTATACTCCTTCCCTTCACCCGAACTAATGATAGGGTTTATTTTTATTTAAAAATATATATTAAATAGGATTAAATTGAAAATTTATAAAGTTTTAATATAAATTTAATAAAATTTAAGATTTTGTTAGTTTCGATAAATAAAACATAAAATAACTTATAAATACAATCACATATATAATACAAATCATCCATCTATTTCACAATATGCCTCATAATAAAGAAAAGTATCACTACTCTGTCAAGAGAAATATTCACATTTAATATCTGATAACGGCTTAAATAGGATTTCCTCTAATAAGAGTATGCCTATACTTAACAATATAAGCATTTAACTCTATATTTGAGCAGTACATTTTATGCTTATCACAACGATAAGTATGGAGCACTTATCTTAATTTTTACTATACTGGTCCATATTTAATTTAATTTTTTTGTATTGTAATTAATTTTTTTATTTTAATAACTACATAATTTATTATTAAAAAAATTGCATATAAACATTTTCATATGCTAAATTTTAAATGGTTTAGATTAGATTGCATATAACAAGTGTGGCTGAATGAGGACTCCTGTATTTGATGCATAAAACCTGAACTTAAAGGTCTAAAGCTATTGTCATTTCCTAAAACACGCACTAAAAGCAAGTCGAATAAATTGATCAGAGTATGAAGTAAAGATCAAATATACTTGAAAAGTAACATTTGCGGTCCACATTTCCAAAACACAAAAAATTGTCGCAAGAAATTTAAGACTCCAAGTGTTGGCACAGATGACTCCGAGGAACACAGAGCCAAGCTTATCCATCAAATAACAATAGTAGTAATTAAAAGACTTGTTCTTTTAGCCTCGTACGATCTCAATTCTTAAAGTGCACCACCATTGCCTGGTGAAAATGGAAATTTTCAAACCCAAAAAATATATATTAATACTCGGTTGATGATAAACAAAACCAAAACACGGCAAACCCAAACCCATACAAAAATTGCCGATTCTCGGCAACATCAAACCAGTACCAGAATCCTATCCTATTATATTACTCACTACTCACTACTACCACTACTCAGAGAGCAACAAGCGGATCTGTCACAAACAAATCGCCGATATCTTGGAAATGGTCATCTCTGTGCCAACTTGAGAATCCGAAACCCGAATCGAAATCGAAACCCAAGTTGAGGTTTTCGATGGGACTGGCCCACGCATCGGAGTAGATGCTTTCTGTAATATTAGTGTCGTCAAATATGTCCGGCAACGATGTTTCGAAGTCGAATATGTCCGCCGGCAACCCTGAGAAATTCTCCGATAACCCCGACGATGACGACGACGGTGATTCATCCCGACATTCACTGATCGTATCATCTTTGGTTGTTACAGATTCAACCTCCTCTGACAAACTTCCACTCTGAGACTGAAGAACAGATTTCGGGGAGCTCAACTTCTCCTCCTCGCACTCCTTCCCCGGTGGCGTTATGAAATTAGTCAGTGCCTCTGCTCCTCTCAGCTTAATGGCGGCTTTATCGTACACCATCGCAGCTTCCTCTGCAGTCTCGTACGTTCCCAACCACAACCGTACACGTCGCAGAGGATCTCTGATCTCCGCCGCCCATTTCCCCCACGGCCTCTGCCTCACTCCCCTGAACTTCTTCTCCGCCGACGCTTTCATCGCCCGCCGACTTCCCATTACTCTACCACTCCTATTACTCTTGCGACGCTTGCTCTCAGGCTTAGCAACGACATCGTTTTGAGTGATGGTAATCTCGTTGACGAACCTCCTACCGCGGTGGAGCGTGACAGCCCCTCCTTCTTCATCGCTGGATGAATCCGTGGCATCGCCGTCTGTCACGCTTATTCTAACAACTCTGGGATACTTCATTCCTCGGTAAAGATGGTGTTGCTCCTTCGGCGAGACGAGTTTAGTGTGGTGGGTGTATCTGATGGAAGGCGCAGTCATATTGATGAAGCCTGTGTATTAGACTGTTAACGGTGATGACATTGAGGGGTCAAGCCTAAAATAGAGATAAAGTAAAAGGTGGAGAGAGATAGATTCCCTTGAGACTAGAACAGTACACGGGTAGAGAATAAAGAAGGTAGCAGAAAGCAAAGGCAGAGAGGAACACAGCCGTCAGAGTGAAGCTTAAAACGCAGAGAAATCTGGGGTGAATGAATTGAATATGGGTCGGGACGTCCTGAAAGAACGAGAAATTGCCAGGAAAGTGACACCGAAAAGGTGTGTAAGCGTGAAACAGAGATCAGAAACGGTAAGAGTGAGAACAGAGAGCCCAGCACAAGCTGAGTCAGGAAAATGCAAAAGGCAGGGAAAGCAGGGGGATATTGGGGGAGACCCAAGAGCCGTAGGGAAAGGAAAAGCGGAAATTTTCCGAGAAAGTTGAAAGATAAAGAGAAATAAAAAAGATGATAGAATCTTTAGTAGGAAAAGGAAAAGGAATATATGTTGCTAAATCAAGGAGCCACCACACACAGCAAGTTGTACTTGCTTAGTAGAACAAGTCTAACGGAGCAAATGGTTTCAGGAAATCACAGAGAGGGAGAGACGAGAGAGAGGGGGGGTTCTGGAAAAGAAGACGACACTGTAGCAGAAAGGAGAGGTTTTGGGAAAATAGAAGATAATGAAGCGGAAGGAGGACTGTTTAACCGGCGACGGAAACGAACCTATTTTATAGGATCCAGGTCATCCAACCGCCCTATTTACTAAATCAGATTTAAAAGACACAAAATTTGTTTTGTTTTGGAATTTTTAAATTGGGAAGGCATGTGAGGTCGTATCTCAGAAACGGAACACAAATCGGGCAATCACTAAGACGACACGTGGCGTGGATGGGATTGAAGGTGAGGTGGAGGAAGAAATGTTCTTGGTAACAGGGATTGAGGTCACGTGAGGGGACACACTTTGGGTCAGTCCTCCTTTGACTGGAAGAAATTAATATGGCGCCAACGTCCCTGGTTTATTATTATTAAATTATTACCAGGAGTACTAGCACTTAATAAGTAAATAACGAATTAAGTTAAATTTCGGTTAAGCGTGTGATTTTATGCCGATTTTATTTCTGAGGTAAAATCACCGCCCTCATTTTTTTTAGTAGTATAATTTTATTCCTAATATTATTTTTCATATGCACCAAATAAAAAAATCATGAGTAAAATCGTATAAAAAAATTAAGAAACAAATTGTGCCACTAAAAAATTTGATGCGCCAAGTACACCTGATAATTAAAATCAGGAATAAGATTATACCTTTATTTTTAAACTTCTCATTTAATTAGTATTTATATATGCATGAAAAAATTATATACAACACTGGATACTTTAATTTTATTTATGATATACCTAAAATCCTAATATTATTTTTCCTGGTGTGTTTAGCAATTTAATCTTATTTATAGCAAATTTAGTGTCCTAAATTAAAAATAAAATTGAAGTGCTGAGTGTGACTAAAGAAATAATATTGAGATATTGGATGCACTAAGAAAATAATATTAAAGTGCTGAGATGATTGAAGTTATTTTACCAAAAATATATATTTGATCAAATTCAAACAACTCATTGGGCAAAACATTTATAGTTTTTTTTTTATTCTATCAGCCTTGTAATTATTTATTGGGGAACGGTTCGTTAATTAAATGTTTTCCAGTGATACACACAAACGGGAAGGGTTGTTTAATTTGGGGGGTAGTAAATGGCATCATCTCCGTTACCCTCACTAATTTATTTGTCTTTTATTCCATTCCAACTAACATTCCAAAAGCTATTTGGGTAAAAATCAAACTATAATTTTAAAAATAACTTTACAGTATATAAAATAAGCATGTGATAAGAATTTTGTTTCAATTGATGTGAAAGCACTGTTAAGATGTTACTAAATGCTCCCTTACTCTTTCTGAACTCCCTCTAATTCTAATTACTTGGCAAAGTTAATTAGTTTGGCATATTAAAAAAATGACAGTTGATATCCTTAAACCTGTTAAAAAAATATGTGACATTTTAATTTTGCTATTCAGTGTAATTAACAACCATAATTAAGCATGGTCCAAGAGTCAAAAGGTGTAAGATTAAAAGAGTATTTATCACGTCTTTGGTTAAAACCAAAATTTGAAATTTGAAAAATTAAAATCAAGATTCATGCAAATTTGAAGGGCCAAATATTATATTGACCTTTTTTTAAAATAAATATCTTTATCGAGATACCTATACCTCAAAACTTGAAATTATATATATTATTGTACTCGTATGTTAAAATTTTTAAAATTATTGCATCATACTATATTGCACCGTTGGTGCTTCTAATTGTGTTTAAAATGCATGTATGGCATCTCTCTGCAAAACAAATATAGTGTCTTCCAGGTTAATCAAAGCCAGAGTTCTCTGTTAATTATTTACGGCCCGACTAAAGAAGCAAAATTGACTTTTAAAATCCTGGTTAAATGATGAGTTAGTTCAACCATTAAAATACCTTATAATTGAACTCTGCTCATGATGGAAATCTGGCAAAGTTTAGAAGCATACATACAATTAGTACCTCCTGTTTTTAATATAAGAATTAGTTTAGCTTTTAATTTGATTTTAAATATAAGACTCCGTTTCGCTTTATCTCTCGTATTTACCTATTTTTTTTAAAAGTAGTCATTGTAGTAGTTATACATGTTAAAAGTTTAGTCAAGTGGTAATTTTAACTAATACATGATTAGTAAGGATATTTTTAAAAAATACAATATTTAATTATTACAAATAACTAACTCAATAAATTTTTTTAATCTATTTAGGGTTAATACAAATTTTAGTCCCTCAAATTTGGGCCCGATTTGGTATTGGTCCCTGAAATTAAAACGTGTGGTATTGGTCCCTGAAATTATGTTCGTTCAGACTGTTGGTCCCTGGCATCTTAGCACCGTTAAATTCTGCTGACGTGGCGTTAACACTGTTAAACTGATGAGTTGGCATATGACCTGGACATGATATTGGTCCCTCAAATTGGGGCCATTTTGGTATTGGTCCCTGAAATTTAAAACTGATAGTATTGGTCCCTCAAATTATATCTGTTTCTAGCATTTGGTCCCTGATAGCTTTAGGCCCTCCTCTTTTTATCTGTTCCTGTAGAACCCTCTACTTTGCTGTCAGCGACTCTGGTGGCTTGCTGGTTGTGCCTGCCTTTTTGTTGGAGTTGCTAGTAAGGTTCTTGTTGCTTTTTCTCAAGCTTCTTACTCTGGTAATGGGCTTCTCTTTTTTCTTGGGAGGTTCATCATCATCTGTACTAGAAGAAGATGGCTTCAATGGGAGTGGTTTTGTATCTGAAGTCGGCTTCTTCTTCTCATGAACTGTTAAGTCACCTTTTTGCCCAAAGGTAGCAGATGAGGTAGAAGGTTTAGCTGAGAATGCAATACGTTTACTCCACAATAATATAGGAGCAGAAGCTCTATGTTTTGACAAAAGTGAATCCCAGATTGCATAGATTCTCTTCGACCATAGCCTTCCATTGCTCATGCCACATCATCAAGTTTTAGTTGCCAAGTCAAATGCCATATCATAGGTTAACAAAGTTAGAGCCAACTCAGACAAATTTGATGGCGTAAAGCTATCAAGAACCAACGGCCAGAGAAACAGATATAAATTGAGGGACTAATACCATCTATTTTAAATTTCAGGGACCAATACCAAAATGGCCTCAAATTTGAGGGACCAATACCATGTCCAGGTCATATGCCACATATATGCCAACTCATCGGTTAACAGTGTTAACGCCACGTTAGCAAAATTTAACGGTGCCAAGATGTCAAGGACTAACTGTCTGAAACGGATATAATTTTAGGGACCAATCGTTTTAAATTTCAGGGACCAATACCAAATTGGGCCCAAATTTCAGGGACTAAAATTTGTATTAACCCATCTATTTAAATTGATTAATTAACTCGGACCTAGAATTAGGCAAGAGCTTGAGATCAAATGATCTATACCTCAGATAATATTCGTGGGTTACATCATTACATGTATGAGAGTTCATTGAGGAACCCCAAGAAGACAACGTCCATTGTTTTTGTTAGTTCATGGGAAATCACAAACGCAACATCGATCACAAAGTCAAACTCAAGAAGGTCTGTGGTCCGCCTTACTTCATGCCTTGAGCCACTCAATGCTTGCCCTATCATTTGGAAACCTCAATCCAACACCCCCCTTCTCATAACTCCTTTCTCTTCCCCGTCCTTTTCTACTCTCTTTGCTATATTATTACTTGTTTTCCTCACTTTTTATTTTAATTAATCATTTAATGCCCTCATATATCAAAACCATTGTTACACATATAATACATATTAAGCTGTGTTAATTATTATTGCTATTGTTGCCAAGGATGAATAATTGGCAAATATTTGTCAATGATGATATTGCATGTATTAGAACTTGCTATATCACAGCGAACATGGATCAAAGGGTCGAAGCTACATAGATTGGATTTGCAGGCATATATAGCAGAGTTTATGGAAATCCTTCAGGTTATTAAGATCAATGGGAGAAGAGTGACGTTCGAAAGATTATTAGTACTATTTACAGTAACTCTGCTACAGAGCATTGAACCTCTGAACAGCTAGTTCTTCATGTCTCATCAACGTTATTAAATTAATAGGCAGAGGGCACGTACGTGTTTAGACAATACAATGAATGAGCGAATTAACTGGCTCACACAATGTTCATACCTAACACTGGTTAAAGCTCAACATAAAATGAATTTGTGGCCTTCACTTTACGGAACATGCCAACCATGAAAAAGTGTCACACTTAAGAATAACAGTACCACCAAAAAGCACTAATGAATGAGCCGAAAAAGAGGAATGATTAGTGGGTGAGATATGGTGTTTAATGATGATCATATAAGAGACAAGGATTAATTTATAAATTTAAGGATGGATTAACATGTGGTGAGTCGTCGACGGCTTCATAATCAGAATAAATCTTCAGCCTCATTGCACAGTGATTCTATTCTGCTACTTTTCAATAAACAAACAGAGATTAGGAGGCTGATTTTAAGGAAGACGGTCTTCTGTTTGATTCTCGAGAGATGAATATAATTAAAGCGTTTCATAAACTCCAGAGAGCAATGCCGTTACGCAGAAGAAGACATGAGGCAAGCTTCCATGTGCGCCTTTCATCACAGATAGATACACCAAAATAATAATAATAATAATAATCAGAGAGAGATGATCAGGTCATAGTACTGATCGATGTGAGAGCAACAATAATAGAGGGAGGGAAGCGTGCTTTTCAATGCTCTGAGCCTTCAACATGTAATTGTTTGTTTGCCGTTAGTTTAAACTTTAAATTCGTGAAGTGTCACCGACATACTGTTTTGGTTCGACGCCCTAATGGCTAGTGGGAGCCAAATGTTTGGAGGATAATTATATCAAACGCGAGAGGCTTGTAAATGCAAAAGCTTAAAACCACTGAAAAGCTTAGAGGCATGTACGGCTTTCTTTTCTCTGCCTCGCTGCACCTTGCTGTCCAAAATTTACCCACCTCTCATTTAATGCTCTCACAATAATCTTCCCTCTGTTTTCCTTTTATTTTTTTTCCCCAGTACGATTTGTGATTAAATGTAAGTATTTCTTTTAATGAGAATTTGAACTTGATTTGTCATAATACCAGAGACTAATCTTTTATGTTGAATCAAATCCCACTTGGTTCTATTTTCTTTATTTTCATTTCATTTTTTTGTCACTACTTGCCCTAATTATTACTCACTCGATATTTTAACTATCCTTTTCACCCAATTTTTTTTTTAAAAACATATTACTACTACTATGTTGTTGTTAATCTTGCAAATAAATTTAAAATTAATGGTGGAAAAAAAATAAATTTTAAATTATGAATGCGTATAGTCTGTCTAGAGACATGGTAAAATCCTTCTTTGTAGCCCAAAAATTAATAGAATAACAAATATTACTCTATGCATTCCTATTTATATAAAATATTACTTATTAGTCATTAATATAATATAAGACTGCTTACAAAATTTAATGAAATATTGTTTATGACACATTTCGAAAATATCCTGACTTTTCTATTCTCTCCATCTTTTTCCTCCAAATTAAATATATCAATTAAAATATTCTTTTGAGTTCATGATTCGAGATAAATTTCGGATTTAACTGGCTTGAGAATGCCTGGTGGGAGCCATATGCTTTGTTTATAAGTATTTACATTCCAAAAATACTTGGGAATTTCTCCTTCAACAAATTCAGATCAGCTAGAAAAATAATTTTCTTTCCAACCTAAATAACAATATTATTATTTGAAAGATGAGTATTGTTTTTTCCCCTATGTAATAGATATCATTCTGTTAGAAACAATCCTATTTGAAATATTGTTAAATATTAAATGTGAACAAGTTTTTTAGTTAGAATTTAAATTTTAGTTCATCACATTATGAGGGATTAACTCATTTCATTAAACTCAACTTCCGTTGATAATATTTTCTCCTGAGTTTCATCATGTCACTCGACGCACTAAACCGGCCTGTACTTTCCGCGCCATTTCATGTTTGTATTTTGGCTTCTTACGTATTTTTCTAACTATTAATTATTAACTAAAATAATTTTAAGAATAAAAATCAACGTTTACATCCAACAACGTAGCATTTTATTTCTTTTAACGGGAACATAATATTTTTAGTTGTCTAAAGAAATATTAGTCACTAGATAAGTCTTCAATAACAATACATTTAATAGTTTCAAACTTCTAACCTGTTTTAAGCTCCTCAAAAGTCACAATTAGTCATTTATCAAGGGGAAAAATTAGAGGCTATCGTAACGAACACTAATATGAGGGGTAAAAGACAAAACACAAGCAGCACGTAGGCTTAAAAAGTAGGGTTTTTTGCCCAAGAATTATGGAATTAAATAATCATAAATATCTGAAGGCAAAACGAAAGAAGTGATATGAAGAGAAACATGCGAAACATGCTAATCCTACAACCAAGGATGGAATTGACTACTCCGTAACATCCGTGTCCTACAATTTCCCTTCATTCAAGAAGGATTATTAAGGATAAATTTTATTGACAAATACATAATTTGAACAACATATTCATTAATGCATCTAGTTGGCACCTCGTCCTTAACTATTTGACTCTGCTTCATCACCCGCAGCATGCCTGCATCAATCAATGAAAGCAAATATGAAAATAGACTAGACTAGTCCACAGTTTGCCAGAAAAGTAAGGCTCATAGTCAAAATCTTTGGCTAACCCTTGGATAATATTATTAGTATTACTCTAAGGAAACAAAGGCTGGTAATGAAGACCCAAATTTTCTGGAAATCCCATCATCGCATTAAGATTCTGCAAAGCTTGACCAGAAGCTCCCTTCACTAGATTATCAATCTGCAACAACACAGATATGCTTAGAGCCAAGGCCTTTACCAAATACAAACAAGCAAAGTCAAAATCACATGAAAACGAAAATTACAAAGAGAAAAAGCAAACTTACTACAGATATAATGATTGCTCTCCCAGGAATTCGGTCTGGAAAAACATTGATCAAACAGTAGTTGGTTCCTCTGACGCTATGAGTACGAGGGATGGCTCCGTTTTCCAACAGTAGGACAAATTCTTCATCCTGAAAGCACCAAGCAGTGGAAGAGGAAGTCAGGAAGAGGCACAAATAGAAGTTTAGACATCGACCAAATCCAGACAGATAAAGGCAACAATCATAGTAGGCCAATGCCTCCTTATGAAGGTTGTGCACATTTCCTAACTAAAAATGAAAACTAATCAACAGCACAACAGTGTATTTTTCGCATGCTTGTCAATTTATGGTGATAATAAGGATAAACCTCGTAAATTGCTTCAGCTGCTGGTGCAAGTCCTCAATTCTTACTCCTGGAGCCATTTCCACATAGATAGTCGATTGCATACCACGGATCTAGTAGATGGAAGCGGTGTTATCTTCATAAGCTAAAGCTAAATTGATAACCGGAATATACATATATAAAATATAAATCCTGGTAGAAACTCTTACCATTGGAATCAAGTGTGGGGTAAAACTAATGGTTACCCTTGAACGTGCAGCATCTGAGAGTCCTTGTTCAGTTTCTGGAACTGGAATTTACACAGTAGAATCTGTGTTATAGGTTCAGGCCATTTGATGGGCTGGTTTGTTTGAGCTAATCAAGTACAAATGCTCAATGCCATTTGTCCCCGACTAAGGCAGAAGTTCAAAGGCACAAGGTTCAACTCCATGTTGTTCACGTGGGAAAGAGGTCATCAGTTTGAGTATCAATGTCAATGAGGAGCATGGGAAACTTTGTAATAATTTGTTTGAATTTGACTGTTTATGCTTGCAAACTACAAGCTATAATTAAATATCTTAAAATCCTTATCAGACCAAATTAGAGCCCCTAATATAGAACTAGGCTAGTTGGTTAATATTTGGCCCGACCATTCTTGACATTGGGGATCACAAAAGAACAGGGTTTTGATGGACATGCCACGTAAGAACTATCCCCAGCTGTCTGCCCTCTTCCCAAATGCCAGTAGTGATGTAGACTAAAGCTGTACTGCATATTACAGATTAGTTTATTGCATATATCTGCCATCATCATTAGGCTTATAACATGCAGAAGTGCAAATGATAATCACCCAGACCCAGCAAGGCAATAGTGAGATTTAAAGATAGCAACAAAGAACCTTTGAAATAATTTGGGTTTTGATTCAATGCGTTAGTTAAGCTAAGTTTGTAAAATTTAAAATGCACAAATCCATTTAAACACGTCATGTCAACTTACCATGGCGATGTCGGGTGACACCATATGAATTGATACCTTCAGCTACTTCTGTAAATAATAATTTTCCCTAACACTACGCCCTGCAACAGCGAACCAAAGAGCAGATACATGCAGACATCAGAACTGCTATTGTTGAGACAAAATATAAAAGAAGGCCTTAAATCCTAACCTGCTCCACTGACACCAGATTTTGCATCAATGATAACATTTTTAGCCACGATAAGATTAGCCTGAAACCCAAGGAAAATAAAAAACTTGAAACTAAACAGCATTGTCTTTCAAGCTAAGCAGTAAAAAGCTATGTCCAGAGCTCTAAACATGGACCCCTAAAATTTCTTGATTTCAGTAACTCAGACTTCAGTAAAAAGTTGATGTGTGTGTGTGTTCAGTAACTCATACATGCACCCATCGCAAGATGCGAAAAAAGGTCGTATTCAATAAACACTACTCGCCTTTTGATGCAAACAACCTTGATGACCACATATGTTCTATCTTCCTTTTTAATTACCTTTTTTCCTTCTTGTTCTTCATCTCATCAAAGTCAACGACAAATAATTACTTTGCATTTTTACTCCAAAAATAAAACAGAGCAGCCATTAATCAAAAAATAAAATTCATGGAAAAGAAAAGGATTCGTAACTTTGCTCACAAATGGAAAACAATTCTGGCACTAAACGATTAGAAGAAAAAAAAGCACTGCAATCATTCTCTCTGGTATATCAACAAGAGGCACACCCAAAAACAAACCACTCGCTGAATTCCAAGGATAAGCAGGGTGGGAGAATCGCCATAAAGCAAGACTTAATCTTTTACTGTGAATAACTTCTCAGTCCATAATCCATAGACACCAGTTTATGGCAAGTAATGCACATATTTGTAAATATCTGCTTTGCTTTTTCTTTCTAAATCCTTTCAACAAGTCAACAATAAATCCACTTGATTAGTGCATAACGCGTAAGCTTGACTAACACCCCAGGGCCCAGCCCATCAAATTCAAACAATAGTGCATAGACAAATGGATAATATATAAGTAATAAACCTTAGGAACACAGCTTAACTTTGCGATTAATTTTAATATCTCAATCAGACGCATCTCTAATTACTGACTTAATGTAGCCAAGAAAAGATCATTTATCTACCTAATTGCTGACTTAGAAAGACACCACAAAACAAATATACTGACAAACTAAATGACAGCCTAGCACACAATATGGACCATAACGCACAATAAGAATGCTAACCTTTATCAGTGGGACAAGGGGAAGTTGAATGGATGTTGGATAACAACCGGGATTGGCGACTAAGCGTGCATTTTTTATTTCTTCCCTCAAAATCTCTGTCAATCCATAGACAGCTTCTTTCTAGATACAAAAAATAAAATATCGCTTAGCATGGAAAAATAAGACGAGTGATGGCCATTAAATTTAGACTTTCCAATGTCACTACTCTGGGGAAAATTTAACATGAAACCTTAAATATTTGGATACTGAAAAAAATAAAAAACAATTGACAAGTTAACTTTTTCAAGGTAACCTCATTTTCTCAAATGCATGCATTGCCCGTAGTTCAACAGTATGCCATGCGAGGTTCTCAACAAGGTATAAATTAGAACCTTAGAAGTCTCAAAGTGATGCACCATGTCCTTATAGTAGTTTCAAGGCTATTGGTTTACTAACAAAAACATCAAGAAATTACTGCAACATCCAAGTAGAAAATAGAGACTGGCCTGCAAATCTGGCGCCCTGTGTGGCTGACCATACCACTCTTCATACTCAGATATATCTCGTAGGCGGAAGTCCTACAAAAATATCTCATTACAAATCTGAAAAGTTACCTTTTATTTGTTTTAGAATCAAAAGAAATTATCAAATTAGTCATGATACTTCTGTTGACATACTGCAGATAGATCAACAATCTTCAAGTGCATGGGAAGGCCTTTAATTATTTCCTGAAAATTTAAAAAAAGAAGAAGAAGAAGAAGAAGCCAGAACTCATCATTGATAAAGAAAAATTGTTGAGACAACTGAAACTCTCTCCTTAACATTCTTCTGAAAAAGGTAACCAGAATCTAGTATTTTGTTTCTCAAATCAGGGAACAAAACATCTTGAGTCGTAAGAATGAACCTGAGTGGTTCCATGTGGCAAACAACAGAATACAGCATCCACATCAGAAAAGTTTGCATCCTTAACTGCAATCAAATCTGGCAAATTCTGCATATATGGATAGCTAGAACTCATGTAACACAGAATGAACGTACATCTCCTCACAGAAAAGTCAATTATAGAAAGAATATACATAAAATAATATGGAGAAGGAATTTGAATGATAAAAGAGAAAGCATGAGATATATTTGATAAATACCAGAAAAAAAGTGAGAAAACTGCCTTTCTTCTTATATCATGCATTAAGTTTGATGTACCTGTATAGCCAAATGAGGAAAAACAGATGCAATTGGCTGTCCAGCTTTCCTATCAGCTGTCATCAGAGTAACCTCAAATTGTGGGTGATTTGCCAAAAGCCGAGAGAACCTACCAAAATAGAACCATTAGTTCACAACCTACCGTTCCAAAGTCTGAACTAAAGTCTGAAAAGTGAAACACAAGGCACTAGATAAACTGTGTTAAAGGCGAGTTTGCTATGCAATTCACCTCAGCACCAGTGTATCCACTAGCTCCAAGAACACCAATACGTGCTGTACTTTGTGAAGTACAGTCACTGGACTTCATCGAGCATTTAATATATGGTTTGCCCTCATGCTGCTTTCTTAACTTGGAAAGCTTCTCCACCTAAACAAATTACGCGAGAGCATAATTGAGTAGTTAAAAAAAAAAAAAAAAAGTCAACCCGTCCTTGAATTATGAAGCTTCGGTCTTTAAAAATTAGTGAGCTGCATGAGTTAGTTCCCAAAAATAACAAAATGTGCATCAGTCCTTCAGGACTACGTCAAAAGACTAGAGTTAAAAATCAGCTGGATGTTCATGTTCTAGATAAAGCACCATACCACAAATAAGGATCAAAATTATGTAGAATGAACAAGAAGTCCCCAGAGCTAAAAATCAGCAAGACAATCATATAAGACATAAATGTAAAAGTTTAGGCATCATTAATCAGAGGAGTACCTTCCACGAGCAGCTTCTGTTAAAACAAATAGAACCGAAAGCTGCAGCGCTCATTTTAACGGACAGCTACGAAGTTCTGAACCACAGAATTAGCTGCCAC